ATAAAAGTGTGGGATAGGTCTACTTGTTGTACCTAGTAAAACCTAAGTTTATCTACAAATATGTGTTTCCTTTTGCCTTGTGTGCAAAGGAAGGGTTTTTCGGGTATTGAACTTTCCTTGTGGAGGGATGTTGGTGTTTTCCTTGCCCTTGTGTGGCAGGAAGACATGTTCCTTAGCTGGATTGTGAGACTACTCAAGAAGATCTGTAAGGGAGGCTGTAGATTGGTCTGTAAGAGCGGCTACAAGCGGGTGAGGTAGGATACAGGAATGCGACTTACTCTTTCCACTATAATGTTCTTGGTTGATAGCCATGATGGTGGTGTATCTATAATGATGATCATAGTATTGAAGATGCTCCAGATGATGCTATGTTGATAGTGGTGTTACTATAACGGTTATAACAAGTAGTTAGCATAGGTGCTAATGAGTGAATAGATCAAGGGTCTATATGAGAGATGTTAGTGATGACATCAAGGGTTAAAGAATCAAAGATCGAGGATCGAGAATTGAGTAACTCATTGTGATTGAATTGTATGTTAGAGGATTATGGATCCTATTGTTATTACTATTGGGTATGGGGTGGTTGTTTATGGTTGATATATTTAGTGTGGTTATATCTTATTATTATGATTGTTTTATCGGTAGCTTACCTCATACATGTTTGTGTTTGTATATGGGCGATGATCGTATAATGTATTTTACGTGAACAAATGATGTTACAGATGTTTCAGAAGCATGATAGACTCAAGAATTGACAGGAGAAAATCTTGGGGATTTTCTTTAAAAGTTCTTTTGGTTAGAATTTTAAGACAATGTAATCGGGGTTATTTTATTTCCTTCGTTATTTTCAATATTATTGAATAATGTAATTGGACAAGGCTTTTGGAACTATTATGTTTTGAATAAATTATGCACGTTTAAAAGTTAAAGTTTTTGAAAATACATTTTCGTGCTCTAACATAGTTTGAAATTTACCGATTTTTGCAATAATCCATGACACCCTGAATTTGGGGCATTACACCTATTTTTAAATTCCTTTTTTAAAACTTGACAAATAAATTATCAATCTCGATATTTCAAATAACAATCATTACGAGCAAAATACATTCAACTTTTATGAGATCAACATGCAATTTATAAGTGCTCACTAAACCTTTCATAATCATTCAAAGATCGTGCTGTTTGATTTGAAAAAGTTCTAATTGTGCTTATGTTTTTCATATTTTTTTATCTCGAGTGTTTTCAAATTTCTTTTTGAGTTGTAATATAATATGTTATCTAGTAGAAGCTCCTTGAGTTGTTTTTTATAGAGTTAATAATGATATACATACTCTTGGATAGCTAAACAGTTATTAAGACCAAGTATTTCAAGAGTGGGTAGGATAGATGTCATCTTTGGTGTCTAGAGTAGATTGGGGATTATATCCTCTTGTGTGTTTGTAATTGTTTTATAGCTTTCTACAAACTCTTATTGATAATGGAACTAATTTTTCTAATGGGAAAATTGAGAACTAGATGTAGGATTATTAGAATTTGAACTAGAATAAATTTGTGTGTGATCTTCTTCTTTCTTTATCATCTTATATAACACTTTTTATTCTTGTATCAATTAGAATTCAAGAAATTTGTATTCTAGTTTTTCAAAGTTGATAAGATTTAAAGAAAGAAATTTTATTTGGAAGAGCTTTTAAAACTAATTCTTCCTCCCTCTTGGATTAGCAATGTCATTTTTCTTTTACTAACATGAAAAACAACCCAAAAACACATGAAGGAAATGTCAAATTTTATCTTAAAAACTTTTTTTCATTAGCAAATGAAATTAAATATTGGATAGACACATTGTTTTGTAAGTTTTCCTCTGAATTGTATCTCATGAAGAGCGATCAGATTTTACTTAGTTTCAAGCTGTAAAATGCAATATTTAAAGTGCTTTTAGAGTTTGTTTTTGTAACCTCTCCTTCAAAGATTGATAACATATTAATAACATGTAATGTACAAAGGTTAATGGATTAGATAGATTTAATATGTGTTTTCATATTGGTTCGTCTTATAAACCCAGACTATGTGTAGTTCTTGACCAACATGATCAAGTTTTACTAAGGTAAATGATAATGTTATATTTCACCATTATTATTAGGCATTTTACATTAACAAAATCACCTCTCTCTTTTTTAACTCACTTAGTCCTCATGTTGATCTTTTTTTTCTAGGTAGTTAAATATTAGTTATTCATATATAATTGTAGCATTAATCTCCATTAATTTTTTTTCCATTAATCTTATATTAAGCCAAGTAAGATTGAAATCCAAGGAAGTGTAGATAAAAGGTCAAATTAGGACTTTGAAATATTCTCCTGCATTTGGCGCTATCTAAAATTCAAGTTTAGCACAACGAAGCTTGGGAAGAAAATTTGTCACTAGTACTGAGTTTCATTAACCTGAGGTTGGGCACCACCTCTTAATGGTGAGTTTCGTGAAACACCACTTAGCCCTTGCTAAGTGCCACTTTCCAGTGGTGAATTGTGCTAAGTGAAGCTTCACTTACATTGAGCGCCACTTGGATAGAGATTTATTCCTTGCCTTTGAGTTCATGCACCCATATGGAGTTTTTGAAGTTGAGTGTCACTTTTGCTAATGTGGCACTTTTAGATTATTTCTTTGTGCTTCTTTGAGTCACAAAGACTTTTTTTTGGAAATAGAGAAGTGAAGAACGTGATCTTGAAGACCTTTGGTACTGGTAAGGTTTCCTTGGAGTCCTTCATGCTCTTTGGTTATCCATCTTCTTCCATTATTCATCTTTTCTTTGTGGGCTCGTCATAACATTCAAGAACTAAACCCATTTTGTTGGAGTTAGATGTAAACAACTAAACTCTTATGTAATTGGTATTGTTTATATTTATATATGTCTTTCCATTCACTATTAGTATTTTGTTTATGATTAATGGATGTGGTGATTTGATCACCCATAGTTTGATATTTCATTTATTGGATATCGAGAAATAACTTCTAACTTCTGTAATCTATTCTGTAATCTAGAATTGAAGCAAAATACCTAATCAAGTTTGTATCTAGGAATGGAGTTTGACTCATTAATTGTTTTAAGGCCTTGTTGTGAAAGAAAATTTACTTATTAAGTGTTTAAGAAAATTGACTCTTAACTTGAGTATTCTTTGGATCCAACCATTTTAACTAAACTTACATACTTTTTGGACCCAACTACTCCAAGTTTAACATGAGTTTTTTTTTTATTATTGTAGTCATAAACCCAAAAGTATTGTTTGGACAAAGTCACTTATGAATAAATATAAATATTGTTTAGACTCAACCATTTTTTAACTAAAATCAGTAGTACTATTTGAACACAATTAATTATGAATAAATACAATTAATTTTTGGATCATCACTTATGACTCAATCACTTTGATTACAAAGAGTGTAATCTTCTAGAACACATATTTTGATCAATAAAAAAGAATAATGTCTTAAAGACAAATACAAAACTATAAACACTCATGTTAATTCCGATAATATTCTTCCTCACAAATACAAGACTAAAGATTGTTTAATATTTTAAAAAAAATATTTTTTTAATATAAATTCGTATAAAAAAATTATCCTAAAATATAATTCAATTGTATCGTAAAATTAGGCAAATACAAGTAGTCCTTTTTAAAAAAATAGAAAGTTTAAAGTATAAATTTAAATAAAATTATCTCTTTATTCAGTCATTATTTTTATCTTATCATTGTGAAAATGCAAATAATAATTATTAGTGTTAATAAATGATACTCATGAGTTGAAAATTATGATAGTTCTTTGTCCCATTAACATGCAATTAACAAAAAACACTCATTATATAAAAATATTCGGTTTAAAGGTATATGGTATCAGATACGTATTTTACCCATACACATTTGCTTATATACAATGATACTTAAAATTTGTCAGAACCAAATAAACGAGTTTGTATGTGTTAAGTTTTATGATTGAATTAATATATCATTCGTTTCTTAAAAATACTTTTGTTACGAATAACTATTTACTACCAAATATAGACTTTACCTAGACATATATTTACACAATTATTTTCCCTCTATCATACATGATGATGCTTATAATTTGTCGGAAAAACCTAGTTTGCAAGTAGTATGTTTTGAATGGATTACTAACATATTTTATTTTATTTACATAAAATATATACACTAGAAAATATCAGTGTATAGCATATTTTTATTAAATTACACTAATTCTCTTAATATTTCGTAAAATTTCTCACCATACTTCTTTTATGTCGTCAGCGTATTTGGAATAGTTGTAAAAGCTATATTATATTTATAATTGATTAAAATAAAAAATTATTTGAACCAATTTTAAGATGATAACTTCATTTGAATAAAAAAAACAGCATTTACATAATAAATTATAAAAAGAATATGCACGAAATTAAAAAGAAAACTGTTGAATTATCAAAATTGATTTTTAAAAAATGTATTTAAAAATTATAAGTTACAAATTTCAAGTTGAACAAAATCAACTCAACTTAAAAAATATAAATTTCATTGATGTTCCTACAAATTTCCTATTTAAACATATAGCTAAAATTTGATAAATTCAGTTGTCCCACACATCGTAACCCACTATTTTATATATAAACAAAAGCACATTCTTTGATAGTTTGAAACTCCTACGAGAAAAGTATATTAATTTAAACGATAAAAAAGAAAGCAAGAAAAAACGTGTATAATATAAAAAGATATTGTCCAGTAGTTTTGGAAGAAACAAGTTTTGGAAGAAAAAACTGTCATTCAATAACGACCTTAGTGTAGAATGTTTTTGAGTATAATGCCTTCAAATTTCCAATCACAATGGCCGAATCCAAGAAGCAAGAAAAGGTGAGATATTGTCTTGAGAAATGAAAAGAAAAAATCTTCCGTATTTCTCTTTATAAAAGGAGAAAAATACAAGAAAGTATTTCACAAAAACGTTCTTAATCTGCAGACATTGCTAACAACTTCGAATAAGTTACATTAATCACTGATTTCTTAAAATTGCTAATTATCCAAGTGATATATAATAAGATAGAAGAGGAGAAAAAATTAGGTGGAAAAGAAAGAAACCAATAAATAATGGCACCAAAATGGATGAGAGCAGTTGTGGTAACAAGGCTAAGTTAAGACCATATCCTCAAATCCATTCTGTGCAGCCGCATCTTCCAGTCTCTTCCAATTAAGTTCCCGCTGCTCTTCTACATCTTTGGCTTTAGCCTCTTTCTCTGCGTGCTGCCGCTGGCACTCCTCAAACAATTCTGCATCCATTTCCAGGAACATTTTGCGAACATTCACCGTCAGTCCATGTACTGCTTGATTCCAATGACTCGAGATGTTTTTCTCAAATGCTTCAAATATTATTGGTAGTACCACCGTCCTGTTTTGGGCAATTAAGCTCACGATATGCTCATTGTTCCACAAAAACAGGGCTCGTTCTGCAACCTGCAGTATCAGTGTGGCTAAGCGCAAACACTTCTCAAAAGAACATCTAAACCATGAAAAATAATAACAGTAAAAATATTCAGTTCTGACCGTTCACGATTCTAAACCCTCTATGCTGATTTAAAAAAACTTCAGAATAGCATTTTCCATAATTAATTACAGAAGCTGTTTTAAAATTCTTTAAGGAAAAAATGAATAAAATGAAGACATAAAAGTCATCATTCCTATATTGACTAAGACCATATTCTAAGGCTTACGATGTTCGACTATGGCTATTTTATGGGGCGTCTCTTTGCTCAGGACTTTTACTTTATGTTTCTCCTTTCATTTTCTTCTTTTTACGGTATGGGAAGAACAATATTCACATCATATAACAAATACTAAACAAATTGTCAGTCTTTTTATATGATACCTGCTGATAAAAAATGCTATACCAGAAAAATCTACCAGAATACTTTTTTTTTCAGACAAATTCAGCATCAACAACTCTTAACACTGCAATAAAATACCAAGGTTTCTGAATATGAAAACATCCATACTGATACTGCAGCTTAGTAGCTGAATAATTTCAATAGAAGGGGAGTAGAAAAATCGGTCAACATAACAAAAATGAATCAATGAATTATATTAAGAGATTTAAAATGAAATCTAAAATTTTGGTATAAATACCTGCAAATCTAAAATTTAAAACAGGTTAGCCATGACGAAGAGAGTCACAAAGAGAGGAAAGCTGTCCTCTAGAAGGGCCATCAACGTTAAAATGGACAAAAGAAGGTTAACACGTCAATTTCTTAAAGGAGTTTAATTTTTTTAAAATAGAGAAGAGGACAATGGAAGTTAAGCATCTAGAAGGAGGGGTGTAATTTACCCAATTTCAATTCAAAAGCGCAATAAAGTTTCCAATGAAAGGCATACCACCCTCATGACCCAAACTCTATCAATAAGCCCCTGTTGCGATAGCCAGCTTAAATTTCCAGCCTTCCACTCACTAATAAGTGAAAGAAACTAAAAAATGAGATTGCCCAAGCTGTGATGGGAAATTGCAGATAGAAATTCTCTCAATTTTCTGAGGATTGGATTATCAGTTAAGATTTTAGAAATTCGAACCAGTTTTGGATGAAAGATTGTTATTTGCCAACTGTTGGCAATTTCAAAGGGATTTTATCATGTAGAGGCTTAGTAAGAAACCAAGAGACAGCAGCTTCGTCATCGTGATACTAGAAGGAACAAGATAGAACTAAGATAAGCTTACAAAGAACATATTAATGAAGTAACAGAAAAGATGAACGAAGGCTCGATTGCAATTTGCTCCCTGATAAATCATATAAATTGCAACACCCTCATGATCTTAACTCATCCACACTTAATTTGTGAAGAATGGAAGATCATTTGCAATGTGCCACAGGCCAAAAGTAGAGCCAGTAATACTACTTTAGGGTTGCAAAAAGTATAAATATATAAGGTTCTTAAAATATTTATAGGTGGATTTAATTAAAAACCAGGAATTATTTTCCTTATGTGGGTGCCACTCCCCTTCCCATCAAATAGGTCCACCTGTGCATCCAAATGAAGGTTATGTTAGCCAATTACATATAGTAACAGCTTATAGGTAGGGTTTTAACTAGCACCACTAAAGTACTGGAGAGGAGCTGAGCTAAAAGATGTCCTCTCCGGCGCTGCTATGGCAGCTAAAGTGGCAGCCAGAATGGCTAGAGCTAGTTTTGGATTTACAGTGTTGGAGATCTTACATTAAATATAATATATAATCTCACCTTACAGCTAACATTTTGAAGTTAAATTAGGTTTAAAGTCTACTTTAAAAGATGGTGTCAAAGCTATACCAAGTCTATCCTTAAGTTTGTTGAACCTATCATGTCAACCTCTATCGGGTTCCCCATAGTCTCTCACACATGAGATTTTCAATCCTCATAGTAAGAGAATGTCTTGGAGATCTCCTACTAAAGATATAACCGAATTATAGTATATAACAAGTACAAACCTAAACTCACAATCTGATTTTGCAAGATTAAGTTAGACTTAAAGTCTACTTTCTAATATTCAATTTCCAAAACTAAAATCTAAAAATGGAATAGTAGTGAAAATGATAATGAAGACTCGGCTTTCAAAGATAATGAGATAATTCCTATCTAAGGAACTTATATGACTTTTTTAGGTATTTTATTGCATGTTTTGTTTAGGATGCCTATAACATTTTTATTGTTAATTATGAGTGTCATGAATTTTGAGCACTTTTTTATCATACTTGAGAAATACATTTTTATGGCAGCTATCTTGCTATCCCCACTATTTGTGTTTTTTGATCCCCAGCCACGCACCAGTTTCCAGGATTTAAAACACTGCCATTGGCTAAAAACAGTAACAAATTATGTGATATGACAACTGAATTTCGCCCATGGTCTTTTGTGAGCATCAGAAATGCTAAACCCACCAAACCAAATAACTTCTACAGCAAATAGATTTTCACTTCCATCTCTTCCTGTCCTTAAAGTTCTAGTAAATAAAAAAAACTGACATACCCCGGTGTCACAAGATTCCTCATGATGTGAAGGTGCAGAAGTGTTTATTTGTACAAAACCTCATCCTTAGATAAACACAGAGACTGTTTCTGAATTTGAATCCATGACCAACTGGTCACCAAGGCCAGGCTTACCAGTGCACTAGGACTAGCCTTTTATTACATCACAGACTATGTAATTTCCTGACAAGTTAACTCCCCCGAAATACATGATTACTCCCCCCAATATTTTAACGAGCATCCCGTGCAGGTATATTTCTTTCCTTGGTTTTGATTTTCTCTTCACTGGAATAAATAATAGTTTCTGCCTTTAGTGACATACAAGCATCAGGAAAATATTTTATTGACTAAGTGAACAATACCAAAAGCTTCCAGAAATCTTCAGATTGGATCTACTAAAAAGGACTCATATCGCCAGCCCTAGAAATAGTTATTTAATTGATTAATTAGATTCCAAAGAGGACGCTCAAACCCAGTTCAGAAATATGCAAAAAGACTGGCTTTCACCTTTCAGATAGATGAAACAAAATTATCAACTCCAGAAAAAGAAACAAAAGGGAGTAACAAATTCCTGTACAGATTTGATACTGAGACAGCCATAAAATTTCAACATGACTTTGATGCCAACCAATAAGAATAAAATAGGTGACTACCTTATTATTTGGAAGTAAATGATAATGAGACAACCATCATTATTGATATGAGGGTTTCAGAATAATTCATCAAGGGCTCTCCTCAGCTCTATAGGAATAAAAATTAAGCCATATCCATAATCATTAGATTCTAATATATTTAAAGCAAAATCACACAACACATGGCATTTCTGAAAATTGGAAGGTACATTTTTACTACTTTGTATAATTATCCTCATAAAAGAGCAATTTCCTTTCCAAGTGTTCACAGGAGAGTTTGTTGAAAGGAAGCTGTTAGATGATGCAAGCAGATTATGACTTATGAGAACATGTTATGTCCCTTTGAAATATTCCCCATTTCTATTCAGTTGAGAAAATAAGGTCATCCACAATAATGCCGCATCAAGGAAGCTAAGCACAGCTTCTCAAAGCACAAGTTCACAAGGAATTCTTAAATCCTTTCAAACTGTTTCTATTTCTAGAATGTAGTGACTGATTCCATCGATAACTTGACTGAATTTTGTTGTTAGGGGGCACAGTGCAAACCATGTTAAATCAAGAAGAGTATTGCAGTTGTCCAAACAAATCAGGGATGTGATCTAAAGATTTGTTTTCAATTATGTCACCATTCTTAAAGTACAATTACATGCATGTCACCGACATAATAAATAAAGATAACAACAAGAAAGAAATAAAATATAACCCACAGATTTCTTAAATAATACTATAGACAAAATAGTAGCTTAATGCATTTAACAAACAGAAAATTAACATTAGAGTACCCAACATATATCCTCAGCCATATAATCTTTATATTCTGCAAGGTATTTTACCATTAAAAGATATATAAATCACACAATCTCATAACTACAAATGGTTAACTTCCACTTAAGTACTCAGCTCTAAACTAGACAATGAACAATAGTGAAGTCAAAACCCTTGTACATGCAAAAGCATGTGCATGTGTCTGTCTATTTTAGTTTCAATGTGTGAAAGACCAGAATACAATTAATTCAACTAGAACAAAAATCCTCTTCTCACGTTAATAGTAATGACACAGTATAATTTACTTTTCCTTTTTTTTCCTATCTATTGGAGCATCAGCAATACATGCATAGCATAAAAAGCAACTAAACAATAGACCTTAAAACTGTCCTTACAGAAAAAAGGAAACGGATTCAATCCCACTACACTATGGAGCTATAAATGGAAAAACATAAAAAATGAGACAATTAAAGTTCATTAATTACGCAGCTGAAACTTACATCCCCCAACCCCCGCATTCTATAAATAAGAAACCCACAAGTTAAAAATAAGAGCTAGATTGGATGTATAACGTACAACGTATCATAGCATACAAGGTAGCAGTTCAATAAGTAATATTGCAAAGTCAAAACTGGAAATAAGAACAATGGAACACAGCTACCCATAATCTCAACTTCAAACTAACACCATTATAAAAGATGGAAATCATTTACGAACCTGAAAGTGAGAGCTATTGAGGCAGCGTGAAATCTGTCTAAAAAGCGGAACCATACATTTTTGAAACTCCGCAGCCTGTGTGACCTCCAGCACTTCCTCCAGTTCTCCAAGGTAGAGAACCTCCTTCTGGCAATTGGTAAGAGGCCAATACTTCAACAACCCCCTAATCACCGTATCTGCCAGCTTGAAATCCTTCTCCACAAACTGAGTAATGCAGTAAGACAACTGCTGGTGGTACATGGACACAGATTTCGGTTTATGCAGAGGCAAAAGAGCCCTCACCAGAAACAACTTGTGCTCCTCCTTCATGGGCAGCGCAAACCCATTAATAATGCTCCCAAGAATCTCCAGAAGCTCTCCAATACCAGAGTGCCGCTCAGTCTCATATATGAACCGATAAAAAATGTTGTTAATAGCCTTTCTAATAAACGGTCTATGCACCATGAATTTCCCGTATATACGATGCAGTATGGTTTTCAAATACTCCCTCTCCCGCGGGTCCTCAGTGTCAAACAAATCAAGCAATTTGAGAACAAAGGAGTGGTCAATATACCGTTTTGCGATTTTCGTATCGGTATCAGAGGAAACCACGTATCTGAGGAGAAGCTCGTAGACGAGCTGAAGGTGAGGCCAGGTCGGATCCATGCTTGGTTCCTCCTCTTCAGGATCGGTGGGTTCCTGGCCGGTGTTCTCGTGAGACGCCGGAGGAAGGCACCGGAAAATGTTGACTGAGATCATTCTGATCATCTCCTCCTGGCAATGCTCCGACATCTTGCCGGAGCCGGATTGGATGAAGTCGACGAGGTCCATCAGCGCTTGGCGCTTGATTTCCTTCTCTCTAACGTTCTTCAGCGTGTCGGAGAAGTCCAGGACGTAGCAGCAGATGTGGAGCTTGCGGAGGAAGAGGTTCTGGCGGTCAGCGACCGGCATATCGCGGAACGGCGGCAAAGGCTCCATGGCCCCGGGGGTGGGCACAAGCGGCATCGCGGTGCCGGAGCTAGGAGGCGCCGCACCTCCAGTTCCGCGTGAGGCGTGGTTCACGACGACATTGGGCGAGGGCAACGCTGGCAAGTTGCGGTTGGCAGCGACGAACGCCGCAGACCCGGGATCGCTTGCGTCGGACTTGGAGGGCTTCTTGTGCCCGCCTTTCATGATTTTCTTGAACATTTTGCTGTCGCACGACGGAAACCCTAACCCTAGGAATGAATGATGACGATGATGAGGAAGTGGTGCGTAGTGCTGAAGGGGAGGTTGTGCACGAGGAAAACGTGTGGCTGCGTGAGGGAAAGGTTTTCATCGAGGTGATGCTAATCCATGTATCAACGGTTAGTTCGTTATCCCCCGATTTTGGCGTCGGGATTCGGATCTGAAAGCGAGAAACGATAATGGCGAAGGAAAACGGTTCGCAGATTGTGAAAGCTACGGATCCGAGTGAGGAATCATTGAAGTAAAATCACCGATGTGAATGCCGTAAAATTGATGGTTAGATCGATCGGAGAAGTGTTCCGGCGATGGAGAAGGAATGGCAAACACAGAAACTGCATAGAGAGAGAAAGAGAGAGAGAACGATAATTAAGGGGTGGGATTAGAGAGAGGTGCTTGTGGAAAGTGAGTGATTATAATGGATTACAATAATCGCTTCTGAAACAGTCATTTCTTTTTTTAATTATGCCTGATTTTTTAATTATTTATTTTTATATTTCAACGATTGAAGATGGTTTTGTTTTCTACTTTTTGGAGTGGTTTACACTTCAGGATTTGGTTTGCCAAATAAAAAAAATATTATATATATTTATTTGTTTATTTATTTGTTTATTTATATATTTATCTGTTTTGTGGTGGGTTGGTGTTGGATAAAGGAAGAAAATGGATTAAGTGAGTGAGATGATTGAAACCCACAAGAGTGTAATTGGGCGTAGTTGGAGTTGGTCTGTGGTATAATATACGTGGCTTGCAAGTGAATAATGAGGGATTGTGAGTTCGCCACGTGGCACACTGATGTCGTATACAGTACTCTTTGTGGTTAACTGCCACATGTTCTGTTACTCTGTTTTTGCTACGTGGGAGAGGTAAAAGCCTAAAACAAAAGCAGACCCAAATCCTATAATGTGGTAAGATTCTTCTTGGTATCGACCTACTATATGTATGAATCTTTGTTTGAAAACTCCATAGTGGTTCATTTTTTAAATTTGTTCAAGAAACATTTTCATATAAAGAATATTTTTTGATTGATTTTATTTTATGAATCGTTGAAGATGACATGGAGTATTATGAATAATGTGAGTATGGTTTAATGAATATAATAATGTTATCTATCTTAGATTCGAACATGATGTGCTAAGAAGCTTTGATCCTTTCAACATTTATACTACCTATCTTTGGCATATCATCAATTTCGCACGGCTAATGTCACTCCCTCATCACAGGTATGTAAATCTACTACAACAATTCTCGGATGCAATCCCTTTAGTTTTAATTTGAGATTTTTTCATTATTTATATAAGTTTTTCATGGAATTCTTTTATTTTATTCATTGTCAAAATAAAAATTTAATTTTCATAATAAGTGAGTAGCATAAACAAACCCTGATTATATATTGTGTATAAATTTTGTCTTGGAGAAAATACATGCACCGAAGTTGCTAAATCTTTTGGCATAGTTGATTATTAAGGATATTTTATAAAATTGTATATTTTTATTAATTATAAAGAAACTACTGAATATTGTATATTGAATCTTATACATTATTTCTTTTTTTAATAATTGTAAAAAAAGTATATAAAAGTTAATTGAATTGTGAATAGCACAATTAACATTGGAACTTTTAATAAATAATAAAGTTAAAATAACAAAATTATAATTTTTAATTTAAGAGTATATTTATTTTGTTGATCCAAATTAGTTTTAGACATTATCTAATCAATTACACCCTAATCTTCAAAAACCTTTAGACAATATGAATCTTGATGATAAATGAATAATATTTTACATAGATATGAACTTACACATAAGTCTTTAATTTGAAAGGTTTAAAAATTTAAGTTGTAACGCCAACATTTTTAAATATTATACAAAATATTTATATATTACATATTCAAACATAATTTTACATAAGCTGTGAACCTACATATAAGTCTTTAATTTGAAAGCTTCAAAATTTAAGTTGCGAGTAATGCCAACATTTTCAAATATTATACAAGATGTTTGCATGCTACATCGGTTTAAAACAAAGTGTCCAAAGTGAAAAACACAAAATAATGTCACTTAGTATATCCTATACTAAAGATTTATGTTATGTTGGGTTTAATGTTCAAACTTTCGTATATTTTTAGTTTGTATGTTGTTACCTTTTTTTATAATTAAAGCAAGATAGCATATTAGTCAAAAGTCAATTAATTAGATTTTAACTTAAAACTAATTGCAACACTTATTCTCCATAAATGTTTATCCGGCCAAGTGAGTTTAATAGGTATTTACCACATGAGTTTTAGATATATAAGTCACACTCCAAAATTTAAGATAGACAAACTTCCCATCAATATTATCATGAGAACAATAATTACAAATTCCAAATATAACTTATAATAGAAAAGAAAATTATTAAAGAGAAAAAAACATATTATGCAAAGTATGAGATTAATCATTTGAAAAAGTTTTGAAAAGTACTTTAAAATTTCCATAAAAAGTGCACGTAGATTATTTTTATAATTGACATTGATCCACTGACATGGAAAGTGGAAGAGTTTATATATAATAGCTGTTGATTGATATGGAAAGTCTCACATGTAACAAGTGGACATAAATTTTGCATATTATGTCTCATAACCAATGTGGAAAGTGGACTATCACTTCAATTGTTACTGTACAAATGTTAAAAGTATTTGTTGGCTTCTTATTTTAGTCATCAAACATACAAGATTGATAATATGAATTTTGATGTTATATATGGGAGATTTAGCACATTGATTTATGACATAACTAATGTACAAATTATATATTGAAGGGCTATTGTTGAAAAAGATATAGTATTATGTTTTTAAAAGTTCATTTTTACCTAATTCCCATTTATAAATTCATTTTATTTACACAATTCAAACAATTTGTCATATATATATATATATATATATATATATATATATATATTAAGTAAATTAACTAAAATTGTCATTGTGTTTGGACGTTGAATTTCAATAAATATGATATTTGAATTACTTACAATTTAATTCTCTTTATTTCTTAAATGGTTTGTTTGGACAAAACAATTGAAATATCTTAGATTTCAATTTTCTTGTTTGGATCAAGCAATTTTTTGGTGATAGACTCAGTGATCATGGACCAATAGACCCAATAAAGATAGGAAAAAGTTTTCATTAATTGATAGATAGATGTTAATAGATTTGATAATAGTAAAGGGAGTTAGGAATAATTAAGAACAGACATTAAAGAAAATTAGAGTAAATGGGGAGTTTTAGGCTTGGAAGACGGATATGAATCTGAAGGGTTTGAAAGAAGCGGATAAAAGGAATATTTGGAGATAGAAAAAAGGTAAATCACATTTTGCGTGTTTCTAGCCTATCGGTTTTAGTGTTTTTTGGTTAGAAAATTTTAGCACTTACCATGGGATAGGTAAAACTATTCTTGTACCACAAAATAATTTGGAGAGTAAGGAGAAAACATGTTAGGAGGAGGAGGATCTAGGGAACCTATGATGGAACAATTGATGGACATAATAAGGGAACTAAAAAGATAGAATGAGGAGATAAGACATTAGACTAGTGAATTTCAAAGGTAGCAAAAGCACAGAAGGGAGAATGAGGAATCTAGACAATTACTCGAGGAGTTTATAAGAGCAAGTAATAATGAAATATGAATATTCCACCTCATTTATATCTTTTTGAAAAAAAAAAGAAGTTTGATTGCCTTAAGGTGCCTGAAGACGACCTTCTTAGGCCTTCTCCACTCAAAGAATGTGGGTTACCTTAAGAGGCCCGAGAATGACCTTTTAATGTATCATCCCAAAGACGATCAAAAATCATCAAATCGACAAAAGATGTTCGTCTATCGTCCTAGAGGAGAAAGATGATCAAGTATCATCCCAAGTGATGATCAATAATCATCTTATCGGTAAAATGATGATCAAGTATCATATGATCGACAAAGGATGACCAAGTATCATTCTAAAGAAGAAAAATGACAAGGGATTATCCCAAAGAAGATCAAGAATCATTCAATTGACAAAAAGATGATCAAGTATCATCCTAAAGATGATCTAAAATAATTTGATTGACAAAAAGATGATCATGATCATCGTAAAGGAGAAAAATGATCAAATATCATCCTAAATGATGATAAAAAATCATTTGACCAATAATATGATTATCAAGTATCATCTAGTCGGTAAAAAGATGATCAAGTATCATTTTAAAGGAGAAATGTATGTCTAATCGAAAAAAAGATTATCAAGTATCATAATTGTTCTAGCCAAAAAGACTAAAGTTCGATTAATCAAAGTATTCAAAGTGTTTTATCTTCCTCCTGCCTCAAGGTTCTCTATTATATTGCAATCCCTTGGATTCTCCCTTCTTCTCATGCTTATTAAATTTCTCTATTTAATTCACGTCTTTTGTTGTGTCTCGAACAATTAGCTGATTTATCAACTTTAAACTCCTTATTTACTACGATACCTGAAAAGCAGAAAAACAACAAATGTAATCTAGTTTTTTGTATTTTATATAGCATGAACTATGAACTATAAAAAAAAGCGAAAAACTTATGACAATAGTAGTATTAACTTGTGATTTTTGGTTTTGATAGTTATGGTTATTGGTTTTGGTTAGAAATTTTTTTTACCTCTCCCTTAGAACCCCTAATTCGGAAAAAACAACAAGAGCTCTTACTTTGGATCTCTGTGAAGTATAAAAATTATTTGGAAAGTAAACAATGATAGATCTTTAAATGACCATAACTTTTGCTCCGATTGTCCGATTTGCTATTATTATATATGGATTTGGGGTTAAAACAAATTTATGGTATTGTCCTAGCTTGTGTAGCCAGCTAATCCTTCTAGATTTTCCAGAAAACGCTGTTTTCTATTTTTCAGAAATTTATTTATTTTTTTCAAACTTTGCAAAAATATTTAAAATAGTTAGACTTTGAATTTTGATCTAAAATTTTTTGTGGGGCTTCTCATAATATTTTGGTGCTTTGAACTAACTTTCAGGTCATTTGAAGTTATTTTCAATATACTCTTAGTTCTACCCTAAAGATTAGATGTATAACGTGTAGTGTAGTATGAATAACAAACAATAATAACAAACAAGTTCGATAAACAAGTTCAACAAACAAGTTCTTGAAAACGAAAAGGAAAACGTCTTAATTGAACTTTTATTTACAAAGATATCACCGATATTTTTAACGTTGACTATTCATTAATTAGACATTGAACAAGCTTTTGTATTTATATTAGTATAAGTGATAACAATTATCATAAGAGTGTTTATTAAAACATCATCACTTGAATTAAATAATTTGGTATATTTATAATTTATTATTATACGTGTAATGTTTTTTATGATACAAGTAGTTATAATTTATAAAATTTGATAAGTGCTGTTATTTTGGATTATCTGTAAACGTTATCTGAAGTTGAGCATTAAGTAGAAATTATGCAAAATAAGAATAAAGTAATGTGTATTCAACAAACAAAATTGTCGGACATAATGAAAGTCCAATGATGATCAAAGTCTAAGAAGGATGGTATCACTATCAGTCACCACAGACATGATAAGCTTCTTTTTTCTCAGTCAATCTTCAATGCTCACGTGTTATGTTATCACTTACTAAGTCAAATACGATTAATTTGTTTTTACTTTTTTGATAATTGTTGCGGCTAAGTTCATAATCTACTGCTTCACTATAGACAGTAAGAGAAGTAGGTTGAAAAGTAGTCTTATCTAATATTATATAATGCGCTAATAATTTATTTTTGTTTCATGATAAATAATTTATTTGATACAATACCAAAAAATGTTAATAATTATTGTGCTTTCTATCATAGATACTAAATAGTCAAAGTTCAGTGGTTTCAAATTATTCCTGTACTCAATAATTTCTAACTATATCCCTAATTGTAAATAGTTTATCTTTGTAGGAGTGACATCCAAATTATTTATTTTGAAAGTTTTTTAGAATATTTTGGAATATGATTTTTGAAATGGAATTTGCAAAAAAAAAATTTTGAAATAGAATTTTTTGAAACACAATTTATGAAATAAGCTTACTGAAATATATGAAATACCTTTCATAACAATTTTTCAGAATAAAGTTTTCAAAATAATTTTTTAAACCAAGTATTCCAAAACATATATGATAACTTTTTTAAAGATTTTTTCAAAATGAAAATTTTAAAATAAAATTTCCAGAACATATAATTTAATAACAAGATTTTTTATAGAACAAACTCTCTCTTTTCTTTTTCTCCCTTACCGTGGAGAACGGAAGTACAGTGATAATGGCACAGCACAGCAGTGACAGCGGTGTGGTGGTAGAGTGAGAAGAGTGTTGTTGTCTTTTACGTTTGTAAGGGGCCATAGTTAGTACTAATGGGTGTGTAGAAAGAAAAACCTTAAACATTGGATGTGGTCACTTGTTGGCTAGGCCTTGGGGCTTAGTTTATGAATCAATGCATTACTTTGAATTTGAGTTTAGATAGACTACTTTTTGCATCTCCTTATTTTCCTTTTATACTTTTTTTTTGTAATTCTCATTTTGCCTTGTGTGGTTTATATCTCTTGTTATTTGTATACTCTTTTTTTAATTGATAATATTTATAAAATATCTAAATTATATTCTAAATATATAGATATAAATAAATATAAAAATATTGTTCCTTTGTATATAATTTAAGTGTATTATTGATAAAACAAAACATAATAATGAAATGGTAAGGATTATCAATAAATAATATTGTTCTTACGAAGTCGTGTATATATCTTCTAAAGACTTAAACTCTTCAAGCACTTCTTAGCTTCAATTTTGAAAATACTCATACTTCTCTTGAGTGCTCGTTCTCCTTAAGACGAAAAATATTTATTTCTGCACAAGACACTTTGACGCTCAAGTTAGTCCCTATACGAGCAAGCAATAAATGCGGTAATTAATGAAAATGTAAGTAACATACCTTGTGAAATGTGCTATTTATACTTCGTGCTTATGAGTTTTTACTTGGATGAGCTTGAACCAATTGACCCAAATACCAATTGGCTTTTTGAATCATCATAGTTAACCATTAACCATGGTGCTTAAGTATCTTATGTGAATGTTGTGCAGGCCGAATAAGGATGTGTCAAATACATGTCGACTTAGTAGTTTAATATATATTCGTTCAAGAACGGGTCCTATATTGATATGAGTAAGAGGTACTCGATCATATATAGTACACCAACCCCAAACTTTACATATTACATGTTAAAGGCTTGTAAAGAGCTTCAATGTATTAAGTATTAATAGTTAATCTTTAGTTTTTGGCTTGTTAACCATGATTTTTCGATAGTAGGTTTTGCAAAGAAAAATTCTATCTTTGGATATACAACCTTATAAGTATACTAGTCCCTATAGTCTTGATATAGTCGATGGAATAAGGGAAAGACGAGTGAACCTTTCTAGGGCTACCTCCTTCAGAGTGGTGGCAAAAGCCTTGTACATGATGACATTGTTAGTCAAGTACAAACTAACTTGAGTGGTATAGAAGACAACGTCCTCATCTAAATCAATGCTATCATCATACCAGTTTAGAGTAAAAACATTCCACTACTTAAGAAGAATGTATTAATAAGAACATTTCGTGAAACGTGCTATTTAAATTTACTGTTTATAGATTTTTATCTAAATAAGCTTGAATCTATTGACTAAATATTTATTAACTTCTAATTAACCATGATGATTGAATGTATCATGTGATGTTATATAATAGGAATGAATCGAATTAGGACTCATAGGAATAGAAGTACTTTGTAGGGTAACACTATTCATGACTAATAAAACGATTTTAAGTTTAGTGGGAGCATTTGGAGCCATTAATGTCATTCTATTATATATATATATATATATATATATATATATATATAATATTAATTAACTTCATTAAAGATCTAAATTTTTTAATATAGTTTATTTCATAGTGCATCTTTATTTAAAATTGAAGTATATACATTTGATTAACTACATAAACCGGTAATTTACGTCAACGTCGAATTAACTTTAACACTTTATTCTTTAAAAAAGAAAACAGAAAAAAATCACAAATTAAAAATACATTGTGAATTAAAACTCGTTTTATTTTTTTGTATTTTAATTTTTTTCCTGTTTTGCATTTTCTGAATAGAATTTAGGCCCATTTACTATATATAATACCTCTATTCATTAAACTCTTTGAACACCTCTCGATTATATATCCAGGTTCTTCAATACTGTATCTGAAAATATATTTTACATTTCTTGCTTTCAGAAGATTATAATCATGGTCATAATAGTGGTTTACCATTAAGTAATTGAAAACGACTTTTTCATAATTATGTTTCAGATTAGATATCCTGTAGCCTTTTTTGAATTATGTATTCTGAAGCTATATTTCAAATTCTGAATTATTATATCATGAAGGTGCTAGAAGAAAGTACAGATATGCAAAAGTGCCCATTTCTTTTATATTTGGATGGGTCTTTGAGAGAAATTTATTAGAAAATACAACATAAACGAGAAAGAACCCGATCTAAAAAAAATTAATATTTTTTCCAATTAAAAATTTTGAAATAATAAATTTATAATTTTTTTTTAGAAAATGCTCACTTTTTTTCTTTCTTATCAATGCCCAACTTAAACTCATTCTTTAGAAAGTGAAAAAGAAGGTCCCCATTTTGATCATAATATTCCCTTCACCAAACATGTATCGCGACAAGATTTCGGATTTAATCTAATATTCCTTCAAAAAACTCTTTATTTAGGCGTGAACTTAATTCGTTCATTTTCTTTTTCCATTTTGATTGAAACGAACAAATAAGGTTTCTGTCTACCACTTATTTCAAGTGTGGAGGACATAAACTCTAGAAAATGCTTGCCAACAAAAATGACTGAAAATCTGTACTACGTTAAAAAATCCAAACAAAAACAAATAAAGCAAGGTGTTCACATAAAAGCTGAAAATTTTTCCAGCTCAAAAACCTAAATAAAAACAAAAAAGAACATACAAATCTCCATAAAAAATCTATACAACGGTGACAGATAATGTAAGAGCTTGCTTGTACACGATTTCTGCCACCGAAAGCAATTGTTGGACTTTCAAATTTTGTTCATACCACAGTTATTTTCGCAAAGTAATATGAGATTATTGTGAACAATAGAAGTATAGTTACATTTTGAAGGTACGAGATCATTGATCAACAAAAAAAGAACATAAATGAAGTTTTGGGTGCTTAATATCTAAACATGAACTTTGTAAGACCAGTTTTTTGACTGAATAAAGGTAAAGCATTGAACATACATTATTTGGTGTTGATTTTATCTGGTTCTTGAGAGAAGTTTGTGGTGGTGGTGGTGGTGGCAAAAGTTGGAAGATTCTGTGGTGTGTCTGGTTCAACTCTGAACTTTTGATAAATGTCACCTTTGTAAAATTTTCTGGTCCTTAAGACTAGAATGAAGGAAACAAAGCATCCAACCAAGGTTGAAGCAGTGATTATGATGAAAGGCATCTTATAGCATTGAACTCCCAAGCAAGTTAAGTCCTTTCCCTTTTGCCTTGTGAGTCCCTTCATCTTCAACTGCTTCAAAGCCTCTTTATCATACAAAAAACCAGTGACTTTCACATTCAGAATGTAAGCTCCAACAGGGCTTGCCACAGCACCTAAATTGTATAAAGTTGAGTAGTATTTGAGGCCGAATATTTCAGATATGATGGCAAACATCAAGGGCCACATGGCCCCAAAGCAATACCCAATAATCACTGAAGAGAAATAAAGTGAGTTTGGGATACCAAAAGCGATTAGAATATGGCCAACACAGGAGAGAAGCATGACTAGAGTGAGGAGCAAGGGACGAGGGAATTTGTATTTGGCTAACAAAAATTCTGAGGCAAACCCAGAAGATGCTCTTCCTAGATAATTCCATATACTCACAAGAGACACAAAAGTTGTGAGGCTCTTTTTCGGGTATCCCAATGACTTTCCAATCTGTCCCAGATTGTCAAGAGCCGTCAATGTTCCTCCCACACCAAACACTGATGCAATGAACAGAATCAACATGTCAATGCTGAAAATAGCTTGGAAGATGGTGTAGTCCTCACCCCTTTTTGGAGGTTTGAAAACGTTCTTTAAACATGAGCTGCTTTTCCCTTCCAGATGAGAAGAGGCAGCAGCATGTGCTTCTTCTGGCTGTGGCAATTCAATAACTGAGGCAGAAGCAGTAGCAACAGCATCTGCATGATCAGGGACGGTTTGGTTCTGGTTCTGGCTCTGGTTCTTCCAAAGTCTGAACTCTTCTTTGAACACAATACCAAGTGGGAGAAGAAGCAAGAAAAGAACCACAATGCCATCCACTATGTACTCAACCCTTGTGAAACTCAACCTGTTTTGTATAATTATCAACACCATGAGAAACCCTGCAACCCCAAGTGAAATATAAAGAAGTTGGTAAAAAACCTTGATCTCTCTGGGTTGTGGGGTTATACTCAACACCCTAACTGTTGGAAGGAAAATGAAGGAAACAGCAGCAGGAAGCCACCCAATGAGGAATATAAGAGTTTTGGAGTTGTCACCATATAAGGAATGGTATAGCTGAGTGAAAATAGCTCCACTTAGACCTACATAACCCTTTAGAAGACCAATCACACTTCCACGGCTTCTTGGGAAGCTTTGGACACAGTTCACCAAAGCACCAGTGTTAGCGAAGGACTGAGAATTAGCACCAATGTAAAAGTAGAGACACATTTGCCACAGTTGGGGTTTGGCAATCCGTGAAGTGACAGAGAGCCATATCATGAAGTAGCCCACAAAGTTCATAGTGGCTCCCATGGCTAGTATAACCCAAGGGGGGCTTACCTCATTGATCAACCCAGAGAAAATTCCAAGGTTGGCACCAAGGTCCTTGAAGAAGCTTATCAAGTTGAGCGTGGATTGGTCATACCCCAACGAGGTTTTTACCTCGTTGGAGTACAAACCAAACATGTATGTTGCCCCTGAAACTGCCATGATGAGACATGAGGCAAAGATCATGAACCAACGACCAGTGATAACATGGCGTATGAAGGCCTTCGTTTTCGTTAGCTCTTCTTCCACTGCCATTTTTGGAGGAAACACCAACCAAACAATCTCTTTGGTTGTGGATTTAGAACCACGCTTGTGTGAGTATGTGTATATTGCGCACGGAGCTTAACTTTGAGTATGGGATAAGAAGATATATACTTGGAGGATGCAATACTATGCTATGTCATAAAACATTAAAGTCACTTTGTGGTAACTAGATTCTCCACCAAAAGTGGAACCAGATTCAAATCCTTTGGGGGAAGAAATTGTGCATGATTTCAGACTATGACAAGCACTAAAAGATGCTCGTTGAACCAGCCATTGAGGGAAGAGATGGGATTCCGTAAGAAACTATGGGAATATGAGGAATTCAAGAGAACATGGTATTCTCCAGTTTATATAGTCCTTTGTTAAAGCTGCATATTTTTTGTGGCTCAAAGTGAAAACAATGCTTCCTTATCATTTGGTTTTGATTGATTTTCTTTCTGATACTTGTGTTATCCAAATGATTGATTATTGTAAACCAATGAATCTTGAATTGCCTTTTGTTACATCTTTTGGAGGAATCTGAGCATAAAGGAGAACAAAGCTGGTAGTGTCATGTCATTTACCATAAATTATCATACGAGTTTGTATCACATGCTTATAATTTTGGTAAATTTGGGCTAATTTTTACATGACCACATGTATCTTTCACACATTTTTTTTTTCATTTGAATCATATAAGATCGTGATTAAGCTCTTTTTCATTTGATGATGTAATCGAAGAATAATATTAATATAATTCTTTTTGTCACCAATAAAATTCTTAAAAAATAAACTGAGTCTTATTTAATTTTACAAAATTACACTTACTTATGTGCTATAAGTTAATTTTATATTTAGGTGTGGGTTTTTCAACAAAAAGTAAAGTTTAGGACAAATCCTATTTGACCGTTATTTCTTTATTGAATTTCATAAACGTTTGTGGCTTTAAAATCTTCTAAACAACAGATATGTTGTGACTTGTAAAATTCATGAAATTAAAATGTGTTTATATTAATATTATTCATTATTTAAACCGTTTTTTTTAAAAAAAAAACAAAAGGATATTGTTTTATTTATCGTTATATAATTAATATTGAATATATATTGCCATGCCTTATAATGTAGAAGGATGGTACATTAATTGGCAAGAAAAAAAATACATCTTCAAATAATTAAGGATGTTTATAAGAATAATAATAATCATAATACAGAAATTGCGAATTTGAAGAACTTTGACTATCTAAAACGAAAACATCCAAAGATATCTTTGGAAATGAAAATTCAATAAGAAATACAGAAAAAGTGACATAGATATTGAGTTCCAATTGGCCTGATTCACAGAAGAAGTAAACCACAGTGGTGAGTAATTGCAAAAAGAACAGCGTAAAAGTCAACATTTTGTTTTGTTTCTTTTGTACGTGAACAAAAGTAGCGTCAGATTAAAGATCATTATTTTCTGAGAAGTTTTGCTTTTTGTCAGAGAGCCACATGGTATATATTTGTCCTAACAGAACACAGTCATGTGATTGCATTGGTAACAAGATTCCAATGTTAAACATGTTTTTCAAAATACCAAACTTTAAGTACCGAACCAGGTGAGACAAACTATCTTCATGTGATCAATAGTTCATTCAAACACGACAAATAGCATTAATAATAATAACAACAGTGTCTGAAAAATCCCTCTCATTTACTTATAATTTACTATCTGACATAAATGGTATTTCATGTGAAAAGAATGTCAATTATATACTTGCACAGTTGATGTTGACAAACTGAAGACAACATAATAGAAAAGGATATTGTATTTATATAATTTTTTAGTAAGATAAAAAAAAACGCAATAAAATAATTCATGCTGTAAAACTGCATGGAAAACAATATTTTATGCATATGTTCTAATTATGAAAATTTGTTCTGTTAAATTTTTCCTAAAGGCCAGTAGATTGTCTGACTGTTCTAAATCGTGTACTATTTGATATGTAACTTCTATCATAATTGGTAAATTCTCTTAGCAAATTGTTTAGTCTTTCAGCATTTGTTAAGGGTGAACCGTATGGTGAAATCATTTAGGTGAATTTTCACTTCAGTAATAAGAAACACTATTCATTTATCTTCTCGTTAGTCTAAATGTGTTTTATGAGTTTGTTGTAGGGAAATTGTGAATTGTATATCATATATACTAAATTCTCTCGTGGATATAGATTCAAGTTCATGAATACTTTAATCGAAACACATCAATTTATGTGTGTGATTCTTTGTTGTTCTTCCTCTTTAATTTACCTTCCACTGTCTACATTTGTTAGTTTATGCATAATCATTCCTTTGTTTATGTGGGTAGATACTAGGGATGACAATGGGTCGGGTCGGACACGGATAGTACCTACCTGCAACTCGACCTGGCAAAAAAATTCATCCGTTACTCGATCCGTTACTCATATGGATACCCGCTTAAAAAATATCCATGAATATTTTGAAACCCACATATATCCGTGGATACCCACGGATACCTGCAAATATTTAAAAGCATATATTTTAATAAAATATTATAATAAAATTACAAAAAATATATAAAATATAATATAAATTAAATTAAATATAAATTAAATTTTAAATTTAATTAAATTTAACCTTATAAAATATAAATTAATGTTAATTTTAATTAAATTTAACTTAATAAATATAAATTAAATTTTTATTTTTATTTTTTTGCAGGTAACGGATATTCGCGGGTACAGATAGTATAATACCCGCACCCGACCCGTTTATAAGCGAGTATTAAAATATCCGCTATCCGCAATCTGCAGATAGTAAATATCCACAAATATTAATTATCTGTCACAAGTTTTATCCACAAATATTCGCGAACGCGGATTTTTTTGCCAATAGACATTTCTAAAGTTAATTTGTCTAAGCTATATCATTATCCTAATATATTAGATTTAATTGTTAATGTAAAATATGAAAGTAGATATATAAGTTTGTAATTGTTTATCACATCTGCATAAGTGCGATGTAATGTTTTGGTTTCTGTTGGATATAAAAAAATAAGCATATCTCTAGTATTATTCTCTACGGTTGTTTTTTTTACCAATAATATTTATTTTTCTTGTGGTTTCATTTATGATTTTTTTAGTTATTAACAATCTTGATCAAGATAACTTAAATTAATATTACTTATAGTTACAAATATCCAAAAGAGTCATTTGTTCACATATTAATATTGTACTCTCACATCATTTCAACATTATAATTTCTATTTTTTTTATTATAAATACCTTAACAAAGTTTATTAGACTTATTGTGTCATTTGTTATTGGGTCACTGTCAGACCATACATAAATATCTAGTGTCATACTGATATTTCTAGTTCTTAATGTGAAGGTATATGTTAGGGATCTTACATTAACTAAAAATTAGGCCAAATGAGATAATATAAGTGGATGCAAATTTTCCTTTACAATTTGATTGAGAGATTGAGTTATGTTTAAACCAATTTCGTAATATGGAATTATAGCTTTAGTTTACTATTTGAAATACATACGAATGTTAATATTATTTTTATTATAACACTAGACACTCAAATGGAGCATTTGAAACCCTAAACCCTAAAAACACATATTAGACAATGATTTAGTCATGAGCAATATTGATAACTTTTAGGTATTCTTCAAAAATCACAAATTGATTCCTCTTAATATACCTTCAAACATGAGACCTCATATGACAATTTCACTAACAAGGTGAGTTTAGGTAAAAATCATAATATCTAGCTACATACCATATTTTCTTTCATAATTTTTTCTTCTTCTTAACCACCTGTATTCTTGATATTCAAGTGTCTCTACCTAATGGTAGCAAATTGTATGTCTTTACCTAATAATCTATTATACATTCCTTTTTTATTTGTCATTTTTATTTCTACCTTAAGGTTGATAAAAACAATGAGTTGAGAGGATGAAGAATTTGCTTCAAATGAAAACTTGAAAAATTTCTTGTTCTTTTACACCAAGTTGTATGAAGAGAAATTAAATACAAATTGTAATATGACTTTTTCTTTACATGGTAATAGAAACTAGTGATAGAAACCCTTTTCAAGCAAGTTGAAGGAGACTCCATGGATATGATGTGTTGGAGGCAAAAACATGTAAAGATGAAGGAAATGGATTGTGGAGAGTGGGTTAGAAGTGTATCTTGAAGGAGGTTAGGCCAAATATCAAGGAAAGGTTACAAGGGTCAAGAAGTAAACTATCCTAGTGAGCTTAGAAAGGGAGAACTGCAATATTGGAAAAATTTTATTGCTAAATTTTCCAACTTGAATGTACAATGCTTGAGAATTCCTATTTATAGAAGAGGGAGTGAACTCAAGTCTTAACAAAGAAGAAGAAAGTGAAATGAATCTAAAAGCTTCAAGAACCTTCTTCAAGAGTGTAGATGCATGCACAAGGTGCATTAGCCTTTAAGTTATGTCCTATGGGTTACTTAAGGTCCAAGCAAGCCCAAAGAACCACTTAGCTCACATAGCCACTTAAGAATCAAGTTAAAGAGCAAAAATTATGGTTTTTTTTTTCTAAAAGTTGTTTATTTTAATCGATTATCTAAAACCCATAATCGATTAAATAAGAAAAAAATATTTTTTTTTCAAAAAGTTGTCTGGTTTAGTCATAATCGATTAAAGGAGAGACTGATCCAAAAAAAATACCCGAAATGCAAGCCTAAATGAAATATAAAATTGACCCAAATACAAGGTCTAAAGAAAATATTTATTTACATATTTACAAATCTAAGAGAACGGAAAGACAAACTAAAATACTATCTTTCATAAAAGAAGAGCTCTTTAAATTCTTTCTTTCTCTTCCATTCTCTTAGGCATGGTTCATGTTGTATCTCCCTGGATGGGTTTCTATCAAGCTCCCTAAATGAGTTTCCATCATACAATCCCTCTTGAAGACGATTTGTCCTCAAATTGGAAAGATATATAAGGAACCATAACTTTGGTTGTTTATTTCCTCCAGGATCAAAGATGTACCCATAATACCCATCAAACAGAAATTGTGATGGAAACCCATCCAGGGAGCTTGATGTAAATCTATCTAGGAAGCTATAACATGAGTTAGGGCTAGGAGAATGGAAGAAGAAGAAGGACTTCAAAGAACTTTACTCTTGTGGATAATAGTTATTAACTTATCTTCCCTTCTCTTAGGCTTTGTAAATATGTAAATAAGTNATTTCATGTGAAAAGAATGTCAATTATATACTTGCACAGTTGATGTTGACAAACTGAAGACAACATAATAGAAAAGGATATTGTATTTATATAATTTTTTAGTAAGATAAAAAAAAACGCAATAAAATAATTCATGCTGTAAAACTGCATGGAAAACAATATTTTATGCATATGTTCTAATTATGAAAATTTGTTCTGTTAAATTTTTCCTAAAGGCCAGTAGATTGTCTGACTGTTCTAAATCGTGTACTATTTGATATGTAACTTCTATCATAGTTGGTAAATTC